TTTTGAATCTCTATCAAAAGATCAACATTATGTATTATTTTCTTTTGTAGTTATGTGCTTGTTTGAATATATCAAATAAGAAATATAACAAACATATAAGTTAGTCAATTATATGAAGCAGATTAGAAAAAAATTTAAATTAAAAAAACTATAATATTTTTTAAAAAAATGGTTACAGGAGTTTATAATAAATTGAACTGCTTAAGTATACTTCAAATCTTAGCAAAGTATCTTAACTACTTGAAGATTTCTTCTATATAGAAAGTGTCTGGCTCAAACTCTATTTTATAAATAAATACAGTTTTTATTTTGGTTAATAATATCTAGTTTTTAGAAAATAGTTATAGTTTATAAAAATATAAAAACATTTTAGTAAACAGCAATTTTAGAATAAAGTTTTATTTTGTTAGCAGATTTTTTCTTTTATTCTTCTTATAGATTAGATTCATTTTTTTTTTGTTAGTTTTATTTTACTTTCTATTTTCATTTCTCTTTTTTTTTAATTTTAAAATTTTTTTTTTTTTGTTTTTCTTTTCTCTACAAGAAAATGTCTTCAGATTGGCAGTATTTTATTGTAAAATGAAAGTCAAACTAGTTGTAATTTTTAGTTCTAACTAGATTAGTATAGCAGATCACATTTAGGTACTATTTTTTAGACAGCTAGATAATGATAAACTTATAAGTTAAATGATATTCTGTATTTACATATATAGCTACAAATGGTTTAATAAAATACTATTATGATTGCTTAAAAGAAAAAAAAAGTATTCAATTAATTAATTATTAGTTATTAATTTGAAATAAGGATATTAAAGTTCAGTTATAACTAATTATAATTATAACTAATACCAGTTTGGTTACAAGTTTTGACTAATTAAACTAACTGTTTGACTAATACTATATTTTGTTATTTATAATTGTAATAATCTGTAAAATAATCATTATAATACAAAAACAAATATGATTATATAAATTATATTGAAATTATTGTTATATACAAGTTTAATTAAATAAGCTAAATAATTATTAATAAATAAATATATACAGTATATTAAAAACAAAATATATAATATAGTTTATAACAAAGTTAATATATCTAAACAATTTTTAGTATTTGATTGGTCTGTATAACTCTTTTTGTTATATATTATTATATATTGCTTATTTATTACAATTATTTTTCACATCTTATATATATATAATAACTTGTATACATATAAGTATATATTATCTAAAATACTATCTTAATATTTAATATGACTAGTATTATATATCTTTATGTATATAGTATAATAAATGAAAATAAAAGCCAATATTAATTTTAGAATTTTATATTTTATCACATATGCAATTATTGTATATGCGATATAACATACCCTTGTTATAGTGATACAATAATATACAAACAATAAAATAATTGATCAAAGAGTAATTTTAACTTGCAATGCAGAGATTAATGATACATAGGCCTGATCAATAATATAAATAAAATGATCATCAAATGATTCAAACTTTTTTAGCTTTCTAATTTCATTTGATGAGTGTATTATAGAAGCTTAATTTAAAATATAAAAATAACACATTATCTATTTAATTGCTATTCATCCAAATATTCAAAACTCTTTTTGAAAGTGTCTTAAAAAGATAAGAACAAAAGATAGAATTCTTATTAAAAGTATCTTAAAAGAGATAAGAATGAGAGGTAGGTTTGTTACATTTGGTCACATGTAGTTCTACAAATATAATTTAGTAAAGCTAATAAATAGATAACAAATTAGATAATAAAACTTGTACCTGCAAATATGAGTAATATTGAAAGTATAAAGATTATTGGCTTTTCTAATAACAACACAAATGATGCTAAAGATATAGAAAACATAGATCATCTTGCTGATATTATTGAAAAAAACATGGATACCAGTTCTTCTCAAGTAACTTTAATTATTAGCAACACTGAAAATGATGTGTTAAGATTATTTATTGGAAAAAAACTATCAAGTTAGGCATCATGTAATTTATTTATTGTCGAATAGAATAAAAGTAAAAGATTTAATGTAGTTAAGGATTATATTAGTCATGAAAATGATATTATCAGAAGGAGAATCTATGTTTGTGAACATAGTTAGCATTATAAAACTAATTCTAATAAAAAAACAGGCACCAAAAAAATTTTATGCTTATAGTGCATAAATGTCTCTTGTTCCAAATTAAAAAATTCAGATTCTGTTACTTTTATCAATACATTTATTAATAAACACAATCATAAGTTAAATGTTAATATTATTATATTTGAACAAGAAAAAAAGTTTAGTAAGAAAATGTTGAATAATATAAAGTTTTTAACTAAATACTATAAAATAGGTACAACAATACAAAGATGATATTTGGAAAGTAAATATTCATCTAAACCCATTTATAGTAAAGATTTATATAACACTATTAGCAAATTTTGATCTAATGCTATGTTTCTCTTAAATAATGCTGTGCAAACATCCAATTAGCTTGATACTTAAAAAGAAAAAAACCTAAGATAGGTTGTAACAAAAGATTGAAATAAAGATAATACACTTATTTACTTAAGATAAATAATATCAAGTTAAGTCAAAAACTGAATACAATTTAGTGATTGTGTTATCAATAATGTTATGCATAAAAAAAATAGATATAGAATGCCCATATTACTCTTTGTAGGATTTGACCAGAATAGACAAAATATTTTTCTTGCTTAAGGATTAATTGCAGATGAAAGTCAATAGTTCCATGTTTGGTTTTTTAAGCAGATTCTTAATACTACTAAAATATAACCAACAGTAATTATAACTGATTTAGGTCCTGCTGTCAATGTTGTAATAAAAGAAGTATTCACAACAACCTACTTAATATATTGTATATTCCATATTTTACAAAATCTTCATAAGAAACTTCAAAGCTTAATTGGAAACCAATATAATAATTTTCTTAAGGACTTCTACAAATGTAGAAATAGCTTAGTTCAGATTATATTTCATGAACAATTTACTAAGTTAATTGATAATTATCCAAAAAACAAATCTTATTTGAATAGTCTATATAGTTCAAAAGAATATTGGACCTATTCATACATTTGCTTTAAATTCACTAAAGGCATGATTGCTATATCAAGAATCAAAAACATAAATGCATATCTCAAAAGACTTTTATATAATTCTAATGTTTTATTTAGTGAACTTATGCATAAAATATATAAGCTAGTTGATTGATAAAATAAACAAAATCAATACTAATATTAGAAACTTGCAATATCAATAATCAAAAATATCGAACAAGCAAACTTTCTATTCACAGAAGTTGACAGGTGTTGTCAAAAATTCTTAATGCTAACAATTTTAAAGATGCAATATAATAAAATTAATGCTGAAGACGATTATGCTGATAATTCTAAAGCTACTATACATCAGTTGTTAGAAGTTGTTAAAGATGACAATATTAGTGAAATATAGAAAATTAAAATTGAAAATTCTTTAAATGTAAAGCATTATGTTATTATATTAAAAAATAGTAATCATCTTTTTTTCATATCTTATAATTGTTTAACAAGATATCATCTGTTAATACTACTTTCAAGTTATATTAAATAACAGTAAAGTTAAATTTTATATTAGAATGATTTTGTCTTGCTAGTATCAAAAGATAAAGAAGCATCATATGAACCATTTATTACTAACAAATATTTGAATGAAAAATCTATTGTTCTGCAAGAAAATAATAGACCAATTATTTATTTATGTGTTATTAACAAAAAAAAGATTGATTTTGCTGAAAAACAAATAAATATTCTTGAACAAAGGGTAATATATGGAACTCTTCATAGAGTTTATAAAAAAACTTTTAAAAAAACTTTACAAATTAAATCAAGATTAAGTATTTAATTGAGATATTGCAAGAATTTGCTAAGAATGATGATGAATTATTTAGTAACAATAGTCAAATTGATGATGTTAGAGAAAACATAAGTGATAAAAAAAATCTAAGCAATAAGGAAGACTTAAGTAATAAGGAAAGTCTGAATGATAAAGAAAATCCAGGTATAAAGTGTTTGAGTTACAAAATCTAAAAAGAAAGTGAGACAAAAGAAGGCCAGTTAGTACAAAACGACTTAAAGCATCTTATAAAATAAATCAAAATAAAGAAAAACAATAATGACATTGTAAAAAATGTGATAATTATGATCATTATCAGAAAAATTGGGATGCTTAATGCTTTTAATATACAGTCGATTCTCTAAATGCAATTTGATAGAAAAGATTTATGAAAAGTAAAAATATATAAGCTTCAGATATTGTCAAATGTTTATATGTAAGTTAATAATTGCATTCGGAAAATCTGACTGCATTGTAGAATAAGTATGATGTTTGTAATTTGCTTTGTTTATGTGCTCTATCGCTATGAAATTTTATTCTTTTAATTGCAACATTGTTTACTGATACATATGCACAGTATATATTATGAGGCTATAATCGAATATACTTTATATAATACCTAAGTATTTAGGACCCAAGATAATAATTTGTTATATCGTAACTATTATAGATGATCTCTAAAAATAGATAACTTATATCTGTCATTATGTGTGCGAGATCTACTAGCATAAAATAGTAAATATGTAATGATAGTATATATGAAAGTGTTAGCGATATACTTTTTGTTATTTTTAATATGTTTTGATCACGTGATATAAGAGACAGGCAATGATCGCCATGGCGGTAATTTATAAAACCCTAAATTAATTGTTAGTTTTTATTAAATTTTGTATTTCAAAATTATATTTTTAAGAAATTATTTATATAAATACAATATATTAATTAATAAATGTTCTTAAACTTATAAACTAAATTAATATATAAATAATTAAATTAAATAAAAAATATTTATAAACTTGAATAGCTTATTTTAAATATATTAGACAATAAATAATTTTAATACTTACTTATTAAATTAATATGAATTAAATAAAAAATATTATATAATAGTAAATTGAATATTTTATATTAAATATATTAAAATATTCTTTATATCAATTCAAGTTTATTACATATTTATAGACTTTACTCTTAAAAAATCTAATTAACAATGTATTAAAAATAAATATAACTAATCATTTCAGTATCATTAATATAAAAATTTTAAAAATATTGTATTGCATATAATCACATTATAAACCTGGGTCTTGTACTTTCCACCTTTGTTAAACCAAAGTTACAGATCCAGATCTACTATAATGGGATGATTTATGTAAAAAATTAGTAAGTCAGCACTTTCAGCACATTTTTGATCGAGATTAGGACTTTGCCAATATTTAAAAATTAGTCGTATTATGACAAAATTTTCATCAAAGTAAATATCACTCAAATAGCAGAAAATATTATTGCTATTTGGGACTTTGTTACAGTAATTTGGGATTCGGAACTATCGACCGGGGTAAAATCGCCATCCAAAAAGTTTCGAAAATCATATGATATTATCAATTCATGATTAGACCATAATAATAATATATTAACATAATTGATTTAGTAAGAGTTTTTTTTCTTGGATTCTTTAAAGTAAAAAGCGATCTTTAAAAACATAAAATCCAATAAACACACTATTCTAATAATATATGTTGATTGCCGTAACCAAATTTCCATTAACCTTTTAAAATGATTATAATAATCCAATTTATGCAATAGCACAAAGTTTTTATTAATGCTACAGAGCCATTTGTTACTGTTTGTTTTCTTCAATAATTTTTTGTTGCTGCGTCCTGGATTCAAATAAATAATCAGAGTAATAATCTTCCGGAAACGCATTAAAAAATCAAATCTACAAGATTTTCTGGTTCAATTGGATTACCTTGATTGATTTTTATAATTTATTTCTTTTTTTCGTTTATTAGCAATGGAATATTCCAAATACTTAAAAATCCGTAATTATAATACTTTCTGACTATAATAAAT